TATAACTCCGATTCTCGAAGACTGAAACACTTAAGCAAAAAGAGGGCGGGTGGAATTTAGAGGAAACACGGGGAAAAACAAGAAACGAGGGGGGTGGAATTTGGAATAATTCTCTCTACCCCCACTTCTCCGACTTGATTCAGCAGTGTAAGAGGCGTAATACTTCCTGGCCCTTCTGTGGAGGGTTTTAGGCAGCACTTTAAGAGGCAAACACAAGCATTTGAATCCACTCAAACCCATGACGCGAGCAACGTGTTTGCCCCAACCCCCGGGCTTTTTTACCCAACCCTCCCGCTTTTTTAAGCCGGGCAAGGTTGCGTGGAAGCATATGAATCATCTCCAAAACCAAACAAAACATGGGTTCTCGGCTTAGCCCCGCGCCACGTCACTGCACAAAGGAGTCGTCGGGCACGTGCAGGCCGCAGCCGCTTCCCCTAGCCTCACCTTGACCAAAGGCCCTCCTTGTTGTAAGCCGGGCAGGTTTGCTTCAAAGCATAGGAATGCTGGTTAAGCCCATAATGCAAGCATCGTGTTTGCGAATGGGGGGGGCTGCGCCCCCCCCAACCCCCCCGCTTTTTTAAGCCGGGCAAGATTGAAATGTATGTTTAGAGTTTCACTTCTCTGGTTTCGAATAGTGAAATCCAAAAAACAAATACAAAAACATAACAAGATTCGAGGGGGGTGGAATTTAGAATAAATTCCCTTCTCTCTCTTCTTAAAGGGAAGTTCATGTTTAGAGTCTCACTTCTCTGGTTTCGAAAAAAGAAGTCCAAAAAACAAAACAAGATTCGAGGGGGGTGGAATTTAGAATAAATCCCTCTCTCTCATCTTCAAGATAAATTACTGTTTAGAGTCTCACTTCTCTGGCCTCGAATAATGAAACCAAAAAACAGCAAGGTTTCAGGGGGGTGGAAGTTAGAATAAATCCCTTCTCTCTTTTCTTAAAGAATAAAATTAAACCAAAAGGGCGTCTCAACACCTTCAACACCCTTTAAGCTCCTCTCCTGAAGCCCCCCCCCCCCAAGCCCCCCCCTTAAGGCCCCCTTTAAGCCCCCCTTTAACCCCCCTTAAGCCCCCCCGTTAAACCCCACCGTTAAGCCCCCCCTTTAAGCCCCCCCTTAAGCCCCCCTTAAGCCCTTAAGCCCCCCTTAAGCTCCCCCTTAAGCCCCCCTTAAGCCCCCCCCCTTAAGCCCCCCCTTAAGCCCCCCCTGAAGCCCCCCCTGAAGCCCCTTCAGGATAACAAGAAACCAAGGGGGTGGAATAAAAAATTCTCGACTCTTCTCTTCTTCCAATAAGCCCTCCTTCACGCTCCCAAAAAAGCAATGACCTTTTTTCGGGGGAGGCAAAGGGTCAAACCCTTTAAGCCCCCCCCCTCAGCTCCCCCTTAAGCCCCCCTGAAGCCTCCCTTAAGCCCCTTAACTCCCCCTTAGAAGCGCCTTCAAAGGGTCTGGCTCCAAAGCCACCCCTTAAACCCCTTAAGCCTCGCAAGAAAAGAGCCTGCAAACATTGGTAAATTGCAAACACACCTGTGCGCGCCTTGCGGCGCGAGGGGGGTGGAATTTAAAAAAAAACTCCCTTCTCTCTCTTCTTGAAGGGAAGTTAATGTTTAGCGTCTCACTTTTCTGGTTTCGAAAAATGAAATCCAAAAAACAAAACAAGATTCGAGGGGGGGAGTTTAGAAGAAACCCCCTCTCTCATCTTCAAGATAAATTACTGTTTAGAGTCTCACTTCTCTGGCCTTGAAGAATGAAAAGGTTTCAGAGGGGTGGAATTTAGAATAAATCCCTTCTCTCTTTTCTTAAAGAATATAATTAAACCAAAAGGGCGTCTCAACACCTTCAACACCCTTTAAGCTCCTCTCCTGAAGCCCCCCCAAAGCCCCCCCCCTTAAGCCCCCCTTTAAGCCCTCAGGTCCCCCTTAAGCCCCCTTCAGCCTTCCTTAAAGCCCTTAAAAAGTTTTTTTGGTTGCGCCTTCACTCCCAAAGCCTTGAAGCCTGCAAACATGGTAAATTACAACACACCTGTGTGTACCTGGAAATACTTTTCTTCGAAGTGCAGAAGCTAAAAAAATTTCCAGAGATGTGTCCACTGCGCGGGCACAGAATCGCGAGAATTCTGGAAACTTTCATCAGACTTGATCTGAAGCTGAAGCGGCACAAGTGCTCGTAAAGAGCGGCACAATGTCGCAGAGCTTCAAAAAAACATAAAACAAAAACATCTCTTTCGAAAGTTTCCAAAACAGAAATTCTTAGACGACTGAGCGGCAAAATGCTCGCCGACGGCACAAGTGCTCGCTGAAGCGGCACAAGTGCTCGTCAAAGAGCGGCACAATGCTTGCAGAGGAGTTAAAAAGCACAAAAAAAACCAAAACACTCAACAAAAAACAAAATGCAAAGCGGCATAACAAGCTTAAAGACGGGTGTCTCGCGAAAAAAAACATCTCTTTTGCAAGTTGCAGAGTGCTCGCCACGGCACAAGTGCTCGCTGAAGCGGCACAATTGCTCGTCAAAGAGCGGCACAATGTCGCAGAGCAAAGTTTTCAACACCGAAATTCTTGGACTAAGCGGCAAAGTGCTCGCCGACGGCACAAGTGCTCGCTGAAGCGGCACAAGTGCTCAGCAACACAATGCTCGCAAAGCTTTCAAAAAAGTAGAAAAAAAACAAAACACGCAACAAAACACAAATGCAAAGCCAAAAAACAAATACAAAAACATAACAAGATTCGAGGGGGGGTGGAATTTAGAATAAATTACCTTCTCTCTCTTCTTAAAGGGAAGTTCATGTTTAGAGTCTCACTTCTCTGGTTTCGAAAAATGAAATCCAAAAAACAAAACAAGATTCGAGGGGGGTGGAATTTAGAACAAATCCTTCTCTCTCATCTTCAAGATAAATTACTGATTAGAGTCTCACTTCTCTGGCCTCGAATAATGAAACCAAAAAACAACAAGGTTTCAGGGGGGTGGAATTTAGAATAAATCCCTTCTCTCTTTTCTTAAAGAATAAAATTAAACCAAAAGGGCGTCTCAACACCTTCAACACCCTTTAAGCTTTTTTCCTGAAGCCCCCCCAGGCCCCCTTTACGCCCCCCTTTAAGCCCCCCCCTGAAACCAAACATAAAAATAATGATAATGATATTGATATTGATATTAATATAATAAAAAATGATAATAATAATAATATTTAAAGAAAAGAAAAAAAGAAAAAATAATAAGAATGTTAATAATGATAATAATGATAATAATGATATTAAGAATAATCAAAAAAATGAAAAAAACAATGAAAAGATTTAATTGCGGTGCAACACATCTTTTATCAAATTGTGATGGTGCAAGCATCAATCAAACATTATTAAAATATTGTGATTATATTTCTAATCCAAATAATCCAAATGGTATGTTTAAAAGTGTTACTTTAGTATCAGGCGCAACAGGTCATACCCCTTAAGCTCCCCCTTAAGCCCCCCCTTAAGCCCCCCGCTTAAGTCCCGCCTTAAGCCCCCCCGGAAGCCCCTGAAGCCGCTTCAGGAGAACAAGAAACTGAGGTGGTGGAATTTAAAAATCTCGACCCTTCGCTTCTTCCATTTAGCCCTCCTTCACGCTTCCTTTAAGCAATGACTTTTTTCGAGGAAGGCAAAGGTCAAACCCTTTGAGCTCCCCTTTAAAGCCCCCCTTAAGCCCTTAAGCCCCCCATCAAGCCCCTTAACTCCTCAGAAGCGCCTTCAAAGGGTCTGGCTCCAAAGCCCCCTTAAACCCCTTAAGCCTCGCAAGAAAGGTAAATTGCAAACAGGGAAGTTAATGTTTAGCGTCTCACTTCTCTGGTATCGAAAAATAAAATCCAAAAAACAAAACAAGATTCAAGGGAAGGGGGAATTCAAAAGACTCAGAAGAAACCCCCTCTCTCTGGCCTTGAAGAATGAAAAGGTTTCAGATGGGTGGAATTTGGAATAAATCCCTTCTCTCTTTTTCTCCAAAAGTGCGTCTAAAAAGCTCCCCTGGTTGCGGTCTGCTTCCAAAGCCTTGAATGCAAACATGGCAACAAGAGTGATCGTCAAAGAGCTCGCCGCGGCACAAGCGCTGCTGCGGCCTAGAATCTTGCAGAGCTTTTTGAAAAGGCAGAAAAAACAAACACGCAACACAATGCAAAGCGGCACAACAAGGTTTTAGACGGGTGTCTTGCAGAAGCAGCAATTTCAAGTTTCAACTTGTCTCTTTTCAAAGCTTAGAGGATTTTTTTCTTAGCCCCACACTGAAAAAAAGACAAAAGTTTTTTCTTGACCCCAACATTTGCTCCAAAAAAAAAAAACAGAAGGGTTCAGAAAGACATTCCGGGGCCAAGAAAAAAACCAGCTCCTTTTCACAGAACTTGCGAAAATTGTGAAAATATGACATTTCTTTGTTTGCCTGTTGCTTGCAGGTGCATGTGTAGGACATGAGTGCTGTGACACGGCAAGAACATGTTTTGTTTTGGCATGAGCAGCTTTGACTTGACATGTTTTGGTTTGCAAGTTCGAGGATGAGTTTTGGGAAGCACAGAGAGGCTTTAGCTCTCGGAAGTTGACCTGAGAGTCATCTGGAAGTGCTGAAGCTCTGAGGAACAGACTTTGGCCGTCACTCACTCCGTGTGCCTTGCTCCGTCGTTCGTACCGTGTCGTGACCGTTTGACACTCGACTGAGTTCTGAGAGCATGCTGTATGTTTTACAACAGACCTGAAGTCCTGAAGCAGTAACCAAGATGTTTTGCATGTTACTTTTGCATTCTCCTTTGTCTAAACAAAGTTGAGATGTCGTTTGAAGACTTGAAGCCTTTGCTCTTGGAGAGAGAGCACCTTTGCTGACTGAAAGACAGTGCAGCTGAACACTGACGTGTTTGGCTCAAGTGCGAACGGAAAAAGCAGTCTGCGCTAAAGCTCTGCTTTTCACATGGTAGCGGAGACGTTCAAGAAAAAGCCATGGCCCAAGTTCCGGACGCGTCCACAGTGCCGTACCTGATGTGAGTCTGAGGAAGAGGCTTTGCTGTTTGTGGGTCTCAAGGACAACCCACAGCACCTGCTGGAGGAGCGAACCCTTTTGCGTCGCCTCCGGCAACTCCAGCTCAAGCTCATGCTTCGCCTACTGGAAGCCAAGTGGGTGGAGTACAAGCTGGAAATGGCCTTGGTGAAGGCAACTTCTTCTTGGAGATGCTAAGGCAGCAAAGTCAGGCCAACCAGCAGAACCAGCAGTTGATAGCTGCCCTCATGAGAAGAATGGATTTGGAAGAGAAGCGTCGAAATGAGGCTGAAGAGAAGGCAGCGGAGACCGCACGTTTGGTTGCAGAGGCTGCAAGCTAGAGCCAAGACGGAAGACCCGTTTGCAGCTGCACCGAGCACACCTTCTGTGCCTGCCTTTTGCAGGAGCTACCTCGTCTTCGAGCTCTGTTCGGAGCCCATTGGTGCAGAATAGGGCGGAGAAGTACCTTCCATCTCTGCCGATGCTAGAGCATCAAGGCATGAACAAGGGCAGGATGCGAGAAGTCGAGACATGGCATGCCTACCTGGAGACACTGTCATCGTGGCTTGCTCTTCAAGATGAGTCTTTCGTTCGAGAGTTGCAACTCTGCGTCAAGCAAAAGAATGAGATCCTTCAGAAGGATTTGGCGGATGTTGCTGCTCGAAGTGCGAAGCTTTACTACTATCTCACCCAATCTCTCTCACGTTGGGAAAGAGGTCAGGAGTTGCTACGCTCGTGCTCGAAAAGGCAGTCTCTCAGTGCCTGCGGATACGAGGCTGTGAGGACCATCACGCAGCAATACAGCATCGTGTCTCGCATGGAAGCTGTCTACGTGCGGGAGCAGTGCCTCAAGTTGGCGACTACGTGCCAGCATCACCGACGGCCGACAGACCTCATCCGTCACTTGGAGGACGAGTTTTCTCGTGCCGAATCCAAGCTTGGGAACTTTCCAGAGTTGCGTCTCACGGAGGCTGACCGCTGCAGTGTTTTGCTGCAAGCTCTGAGCCAGGAGCTCAGACAGTACGTCGTTCTTCATGGGAAGAGCAACGACTGGACATCGCTGAGCGATAGCCTTCGGTACTATGAGGAGCAGCTTCGTCTGTGTGAGGGTCCCTTTTCCTCAAATCGGCAGATGTCAGGAAAGGGTGACAAGCTTTGTGACCACTGTGGACGAAAGGGACACCTGGCTAAGGACTGCTGGAGCCGTCAGCGTGAAGCCGGTGAAAAGGGCAAGAAGGGCGACAAGGGCAAGAAGGGCGATGGCAAGGGAGCGCAGAATCCCAAAGGAAAGCCACGCTCTCCAACGCCGAAAGGCGGAAAAGGCGGCAAAGACAAGGAGCAGAAGCCCGACAAGCCTGATAAAGGCAAGGGCAAAGGCAAGAAGAAGAAGAAGGCTAGAGCCCGGGCTATGGGAGAACCAGAGTCCGAGGCAGAGTCCGAGTCTTCGAGGACCTCCACCGTGATGGCGATGAGGTTTGCCAAGCCTTCTGCTGTACGAGAAGTACTGAGCCAGCCTGAGCCTGAGAAGCCTAAGCCCGTAGAGGCAGTCCCTAGACCGGTCGCTGTAGGGCCGAAAGTCACTGTAGATGAGAAGGTAGGCACCCTGACTGGAAGCACCTCGAAGGGAGATGCGGCATACGTCTGCGCTTCGCTGCAGGTAGAGCATCGTGATGTGTGGCTGGTCGATAGTGGAGCCACATGCCACATCGTCTCAGCAGATCATCTGTCAGGATTTCGTGTCTGCAAGTACCATGATCGCACGGTGACGCTCTATAGTGCCTCAGGAGACATCATAAACGTATCGAATGTCGTTGATCTGGAAGTTCGTTTCGGCGACGTTTCGTTGACGTTGGAGGACGTCCTTGTGGCGGACGTGCCTTTCAATGTGGTATCTCCGTGGTCCGCGTCGGAACGGGGCTGGAAGACGCACCTTGCGCGCACCGGGTCTCGCATTTACAAGGGTGGAAAGAAGAATGTCCGCCTGGTTGGGGCGAAACGGGCCTGGTGGGCGATTAGCGGAAAGAAGCAGAAAGCTCCTAAACGCCCATCCAAGGGATCGGACATGGAGATCGACTCTCTTCCTGTTGACAAGGAACCCAGGAAAGACATTACTGCAGGACCAAGCATCCTGAAGAAGACTTCGAAAGAAGCGAAGAGTGATGAGAAGCCTGGAAAGGACGAGAAGTCTATCCGCCACGTCTTGACGGGAACGCCGTTTGAGTTCATGTTGCGCGGTTTGAGGGCTGAAGTTAGGAGTAGGTCCCTGGAAATTCCTGAAGAACACGCCGGTAGGAAACAGCACGACATGATCTGTACTAGGAAAACGCCTGTCCTGAGTGGTGATAGGAGCCTGTGTTCCGAAAGTCTGGTTAGGAAACTTCATGATTCTGTTAGGAAATGCCATGTTTTTGTCAGACAGCAACATGATTTTTGGCAGCGGCATGTGTGCGCAGTTTGGAACGTGATGTTTTTGCTGGCATGTCTTGTGAAGGGGTTGTGTTTGAAAGGCTTTTCGCTTCTGATCTTCGGCAGTGAAGGTTTGAGGTGTGCCCTTAAAGGAAGTGAGTGCCCCAAAGCAACCGAGCCAGGCATGTTTTGCGTTAGGAAGCCCAAAAGGACCTCAAAAGGCTTGAAGTGCGCATGTTTGTCCGCAGCCATTTTGCTTGTTTGCGTGTCTTGGTTTTCCCTGAGGGAAGGTACTGAGCATGTCGGAACCGCCAATGGAGGTGGAGCAAGATTCCCACAACTCTCCAGCGGAGAGTGCCGGGCAGGAGGTTGCGTTTTTGAATGCACCAGTAGAGCCTGCACCAGCAGAGGCGGCGCCAGTCGAGACTGCGGATGCAGAGGCTTCAGCTGCCCCCTTCAATGTTTTCTCGAGGCCTCCGAGTCAAGTTGCAGTACCTTCGCCTACGGTGGCTGCATCAGAGACAGGAGAGACAGAAGAGGAGGAAGCATGGGGAAAATGGAGGGCAAGCAAGGCCAGGCCTTCGCAGCCATCAGCCGAGCCGTCGCTGATAGTGAAGTGGAGAAGCATGCTGAGGGGACCGCGCTTCAGGTATTTCATGCAAGCGATACGACAACAGCGAGAAGATCTTATTGCATGTGGATACCCTGTGCCGGCAATTCCAGAGAACAACCTGGAACCTGCAGTTCCACTTATGTCTATCGGAGATGGGGTCGTTTATCCTTCCCGCCAGGGGACCATCTTTGCGTCATTGACAGATGCTTTGATGACCGACGGCTACCTCCTCGAGGTTGGGCAGAAGCTCCTTGGGCGGATCCAACGTCCAGACCCAGATGTGGGGCCGTGCCTGGGAACGGGCTGGTCCAAGAGGCTTCGCGATCACGATCCCGATCCTCTGGATGGAACGCCCTACATCAGCGCGGAGGTTGCGTGGGCGCTGTGGCTGCCCGAGTTTCCGGAAGCCCCGGAGCAAGGAGGCATCCTTCCGGTGAAGAGAAAGAGGGATTTTTCCCAGCTCACCGACGAGTTGTTGGACGAGCATACTACAAGGTTCGAACTCGCGGGTCAAGGCCGCACTCTTCACCAACGCGGCGTGCGTGCAAGGGACGCGCGTGCAGCTATCGAAGGGTATACTCCCGATCCAAGTCACCTACGCCACCAGAGTGGAGGGGACGTGGCTGCGCTGGGTTACATCAAGCGTATCCTCAAGGTCCTGACCGTTTACGAGGCCATGCCGGAAGCGGAACGCAACCTTTTGGCTGGAATGTATCCAGACGACGTCGAGCTCCAGCTCGAGTGGGTGCCAGGCTCAGCCATCAGGCATGGGTGGCGTGCGTTAATGGGGGCAATGGATCAGCGCACCCGGCGCTATATCGAGTTCGAAGCAGAGGTCCGAAAATGGGAGGACTTGCAGTCCGCTCGACCCAAGGTCAAGGCCAGAAGAACGGGTGCAGCTGCTTCCACAGATACTGGAGGTGGAATTGGAGCGATGAACGAAGGCTCGGAGACTGGAGCCATGAACGAAGGCTCGGAGACAGAGTCTGCAGAGTCATCCTCGGCAAGTTCGTCGGACGAATCGATTCCAATGGGGGAATACATGATGCAGAGCCGGACCAGAGTTTTGGCGCTCATCGAAGCGGAGAAAGCCTTGAAAGATGTGGGCTCCTCTGCGCCGCCCCCACCGTCTCCTATCATTATGGAGCCATCGCCGGTTGCGACGGACGGGTACAAGTTCGATCCAGCATCTCTAGGAGCCCCTCTGGGGGACACTGCAGCTCCATCAACACCGGTACCTCCTTCGCCTTCCGCAGTTTCATTGGCCCCTTTGGAGTCATTCAAGTTCTTGGATGTCCCACCTGTTGCTTCTTCTGGTCCCTCGGACCACAGTGTGGAGCCTATGGTGGTGGAAGAGGAGCGGGCCCCAGAAACTCCAGGACCCACGGCACCGGTTGGAGCTCCAATTTCCGCAACGGAGAGTGTGCCGGAGACCCCTCCTCCAGGGGAAATTCCAGGTCCCGGTTATGTCCCGAAGGCAGCTCCTGGGGAAATTCCAGGTGCTCTGTCGAAAGCCCAGGGGGCACCAGCGGGGGCTACACCGAAGGCCTGGTCTGTGGTTCCAACTTCCTCGCCTTTGACGGTTCCAGAAGCGCCAGTGGCTGTAGAGTCTTTGCCTGCAGTTCCAGAGCCAGCAACCGTGACAGCGGAGGAAGGGCCTACCTCCGAGACCGCTACATCATCCGCAGCGGGTGCCCTTCCGCCTCCGGGCGGCTTGGGTCAAACAGCCGAAGAGAGGGAGTTTGTGCTTCCTTCCCCTTGCCAGAAGAAGTGAAGGCCTTAAAGGCTGTGCGGAATTCTTCCTTTTGTGGAATTGTTTCTGAACGCGCCGATCGCATGTCTTGCGCGTTGGAAAAACACAGTGTCTTTCAGGCTTGTTTGGACTTGGAAAGAAGCATGAGTGAAGCAGTTGAACAGACATGTTGCTGTGTGAGACTTGCTTGGTTAGGAGTGTGCGAGCTTGAAGGTCCCTTGAAGAGAAGCCCAAAAGAACTTCGATCTTCTCGGCAGTACCCTCAAAGATCCGAAATACCCTCAAGTCCGCGTTTAACTAGCCCGAAAGAACGTCGATCTTCTAAGCAGTACCCTCAAAGATCCGAAATACCCTCAAGTGTGAACCTCAGAAACGCCACGAACCCAAACCTCCTGAACATGAGTCATGACAGACCCCTGCCGGCCAGGAGTGCTTTGTTTTGCATGCCAGGAGAAGCATTGGATGTTTTCGCTTGCTTGGCGATCTATGTGATAGCAAGTCTCTTGGGGGGTTCGTTCTGGTTAGGGTTTCGATTCTTGAAGATGTGTTTGAAAAGGTTTCGAGGAGTTGGTGACTACCCTCAACTTGTATCCCGAAAGTACCGTTTACACCATCGTCGTAAAGGAGTCCGAGTGCGAATCAAGACTCGTTTCTGTTATGTTCGAGTTGATGTAGAACGTACTCTGGTCTTTAGCAGGCACGTTGTGAAACCAACTTGGAGCTCAGGTTTTAAAGCCTCTTTGAAGTTCGCATGTAAGGCCATGTGCTTGGGCCTTTGTCTCGACAGGAACTTGTGGAGCTTGTTGGTGTGCATGGCATGGTGTTGTGCTTGGAGTGTGTGTGGTTGTTGTTTGTTGAGAAGAAAGGGCGATGATGAAAAAGGGAGCAGATCCACTTCTGAGCACAGCCACTTGAGAGTTGTGCGTGGACTGCCCCTCCCCGGTAAGGGGACGCAAGCTGAGCCCTTAGAACTCGATAGTGACATACCACGTTCTTCAGAGAGAGAAGAGAGAGGAGAAAAAGAGAGTCCGCTTCCGAAGCCTCAAGGTGCTGAACCACCTAAACCCCCGGAACCGCCTGGAGGTGCAGAAGTTTCAGATAGGATACCTCTGCGAAGTGTGGCTTTGCAAGTGCATAGATCCAGAGGTCATTTTCCTTATGATGTGAACTGTGAGGCCTGCACCTCGAGTAAAGGGAAGGTTCCTGCGAGACGCTTGCGAAGGCGTTTGCAACGCGAGGACCAGACGATAGGAATGGATTTCTACTACTTCGGTCGTCTTCGTGTGCTGCTTCTTGCACATTGCTCTTCGAACTATACCACGGTCATCCCGGCCATGAATTTGGATGATCCGGATCTGTTTTACAACATTGGACGAGTGATTCGCGAAATGGGTCTTGTGAATAAAATGGTCACAGTGAGATGTGATCAGGAGTCGGCTTTGATGTCTTTAGCCGAAAAATTGACTACCCGTACAGGTGATGTAGCTGTTTCTGGCGTCATTGTGGACGTCGTGCCCGGGTATCGCCCTCAGTCAAAAGGCGCTATTGAAAGACAAGTAGAAACTATGAAGCAGGGATTTTGGGCAGTGTGGTTAGACTTGGAGAGAGAAGTTGCGCGGAATTCCGCGCCGGAAGACTGGAACAAGAAGCTTCCGCTGGGAGGAATGCTCTGGCAAGCTTGTGTCCTTTACAGCGCCAGGTGCTACAACCTCTGGAGCTTTAGTCACCAGGACGTGACTACGCCCATTGACCGGCTGCACGAGGAGATTGTGCATCGTACGAGGACCCTGCCGTTTGGATGTCTTGTCTACGCTAAAGTAGGGGGCTCAAAAGCGCATCAACAGAAGTACAGGGGAAAGAAAACAGTGAAAGCTGTGTATCTAGGGCCTAAAGAGCCTAGAGGGGGCGGTGTCTTTGCTGCTCCAGTGGGTCAGACTGAGATCGATATCTTTCCTGTCTGTAGGGCCTTAGAAGGAGCGAAAGGTGAGCCTGTCTACGACGTAGGGGCCATACACGCTCTGTCTACTTCACAGCCTCTGGTTCTAGACCCAGCGGATCCTGAAAGGCCCATCATGTTTGAGCCACCACCTGATCCGGTGAAGTCAGAAGACCCTGACCCGGGGTTTGAAAACGAAGATGAAGAGATGGTACCAGATGATCCTGATCCTCTGAATGATATTCCGTCTTACGTGGAACCCACAGATGATGAGGGGGAAGGCGGACTTGGGTCACCGGAAATGCAGCCGGATGACCTAGAGGACATGGAAATTGACTGGCTAACTAACCATCTGTTAGAGTCTTTGTTCAAAGGACCGGACATTCTGGCCACGTCTAAAGAAGTAGCTGATTCGTTTACTCTCAAATTCGGAGGGAGTAAGATCAAGTGCCAAGTACCCCGAAACGCCGTTTCTGAGACCTCAGGTGAACAGTTAGACCCTGAACTTCTGTATGCTTCGATGAAGTTGGAGCTTGAGGAACTCGAGTCTTTTGGAGTAGGAAAAGTGATCTCTGAAGCTGAGGCCCGCAAGTCGGCGCGAGAGAGCGGTCGGAGGGTTCTCACGAGCAGGTGGGTTAACACGATCAAACGTAAAGGTCTTTACCGTTCCCGCCTCGTTGTTAGAGATTACGCTTCAATGGGAGGCACGACGCTTTCAGAAGGCATCTACAGCCCGACTACGAGTTTAGAGGGTTTAAGGCTTCTTTTGGCATTGCTTTGCAAGAAAGGCTCAGTGTTGAGCTGTGACGTGAGCGTGGCTTTCATGCACGCTGCAGTGTCAAGGCCAGAGTACGTAGAGCTCCCAAACAATGTGAGTATTGCGGACTCTTCTGTTCCCCAAAAGGCAGGAAACAAGAAGGTGTATCTTCGTCTTCATAAAGCGATGAACGGATTGAGATCGGCACCGCTTTCTTGGTATAAGGAACTGAGTTCGTACTTGGAGAAGAGCGGATTCAGTCCAAGCCTGGACCCTGCGATATACCGAAGGAAGACGTCGAAGGGTCTGACGTTGGTACTGTTCTATGTAGACGATTTGCTGATCTACTCCGAGGACCCATCGGAAGGTAAGAGAGTTTTCGAAGGACTGCAGAAACGCTACAAGCTGAAACTGACTGGAGAGCTTCCTGAGAATGGTGCGGGGGAAGTTTCCTTCTTGGGTAGGAGAATATTCCGACGTTCCGGAGACAAGCGCGTCTATTTCGGGCTAGATAGCAAGTACCTAGACGCGTGCTGCTCTGAGTACAATATAACCAAACCGAGCCCCAAACTCCCGTCGCTTGAAAAGCGATACTCCGACCTGGTTCGAAAAGGGCAAACTGAAAAGATTAGCCCGGCCGCACACGAAAAGTATCGTAGAACCCTTGGTCGGCTTGCATGGGCAGCCCTCTCCCGACCGGACCTGCAATTCTGTTGCGGGTTTTTGGGCCGGCACCAGGCGGCGCCAGACGAGGCTGCTGAAACATGCATGAGAGACGTCCTTAAGTGGATAAAAGGGCTTCCGCACCGAGTACAGGTGTTGCCATCAACTCGGGAGATCCTGGAAGATGATGCGGATCCTCAGGCGGTTTCCTGTTTTACAGACGCAAGCTGGAGTTTGAATTCGGTTAGTGGTGGTGTGATTACTTGGGAAACCTGCTGTCTGAAGACTTTTAGCAGAAAGCAATCAACCACAGCCCTGTCCAGCGCTGAGAGTGAGCTCGCGGCGCTCACGGAGATAGCCAGGGAAGGTCTCTACATTGCCCTCTTGACAGAGACCATCTTGGAAGGCATTCCGCAGGACAGGGAGACCGGTTACTATCTCTTGAAGGGTTACTCTGACTCTGAAAGCGCGGTTTGTATCTCAAAAATGGGAACATTGCTGAGGAAAGTTCGCCATATAGAGTTAAGAGCCGCATTTCTCCAGGAACTTGTGGATCGTGGAAGGTTCACGATTGAGCACATACCGGGGGCCATCAACCCCGCAGATGCTCTAACGAAAAGTCCCACGAATGACAGTTTGGCAAGCTTGTGTGAGGCTTGTGGCTTGACCACCGAGCCGGTTGGCTGGGGAGAAAAAGCTTCAGGCACTAGCGTTTCGGTTACCTTTAAAGAGCCCAATACCTGCGACGAAGTGCTCGCAATTCCGAGCTCGTGGAAGGACGAGGCCTACAGAGTTGCTTCTGGGGAGGCCACCATGGTTGTCTTGGAACTCTGTTGCGAAGAGGAAAGCGCGATAGCCCAAGCTTGTAAGCGGGAACGTGACATCGCGTACTTTGGAATCACCAAGAAGCTAGACTTGCTGAGTAGAGAGGCTTCTTTGTTGCTAAAAGGGATTCTGGAAAAGATGGCTTCTAACGAAAGAATCTACGTGTATGCACATTTGTCTACGCCGTGCAGCGCAGGTAGTGGCCTTAGGCACCTGCGTTTCTCAAAGGACGTGAAGAACCGGGCGAGATGGAGAGCTAGTCTGGAGGTACACAAGAAGTCCTGGAGACGCATACGAGCAGTTTTCCAGGACTATGCTGGCCACGAGAGGCTCCTCCTCTCCCACGAATGGCCTAAAGGGTCTGGCCTTTGGGGAGAAACAGTCTACAAGTCAACAGCGAAAAGACTGGGACTCGAGCACGAGTGTTTGGTAGACCGGTGCTGTTTCGAGGAAGCTGGCAACCGTATCCTGAAGCATTGGTGGTTCGTCAGTTCGGATTCAAGTTTTATCTGGACTTTATCCTCTTGTGTTTGCCCAGGAAACCACGAGCATGCGAGTGCTACTAGCATAGCAGCGACAGGTGTCTATCCGCAGGGCTTAGGCCGATTCCTGGTGAAAGAAGCCAGGAAAAGTCTCGAAAGACGAAAGAAGGACTGACCGCGCAATAGGCATGAGGGGGTGTGAAAATATGACATTTCTTTGTTTGCCTAGTTGCTTGCAGGTACATGTGTAGGACATGAGTGCTGTGACATGGCAAGAACATGTTTTGTTTTGGCATGAGCATGTTTGCATGACATGAAGGTGCTTTGACTTGACATGTTTTGGTTTGCAAGTCCGAGG